GCACCTTTGGGAGCTTCACCTCGGGGACTTTCGGCAGCTGCACCTCCGGGAGTCGAACCTCTGGCACGGCCATCTCGGGCACCTTTGGGAGCTTCGTCTCGGGGAGCTTCATCTCGGGCACCTTCGCGAGCTTCATCTCGGGCACCTTCGCGAGCTTCATCTCAGGGAGCTTCATCTCGGGCACCTTCGGCAGCTGTACTTCTGGGAGGTGCAGCTGGGGCACGGCCATCTCGGGCACCTTCGGGAGCTTCACCTCGGGGACTTTCGGCAGCTGGACTTCTGGAAGCCGCACATCTGGCACAACCATCTCGGGCACCTTCGGGAGCTTCATCTCTGACACTTTTGGGAGCTCCACCTCTGGGAGTCGCACTTCTGGAAGGGCTGCCTCGGGCACTTTGGGGAGCTTCACCTCAGGCCCCTTGGGCGCCTTGACCTCAGGTGGCGAGACCCCGACGCCAAGGGAGGGCATCCTGATGGTGGGCAGCTTCAGCTTGCTCTCGACAACGGCTTCAGGGGCAGCAGGCCGGGGCTCCAGGAGAGAAAGCCCAAAGGTGGGCATCCGAAGTCTGGGCCCCTTCACCCTGGCCTCAGGAACTTCCTTTGCTCGAGCCCCAAAGCGGGGGAAACTGAGGCGGGGCATCTTCAGGGCCACCTCAGGAGCCTCTCCTGGGGCCTCCACCTCTGCGCCCGGCAAGGCCAGGTCCACCCCCACTGAAGGCGCTGCCACGTCCAGGGTGGGCACCACCACTGACACAGCCCCTTCCCGGGTCTCCAAGCAGGGCAGTGAGGGCAGAGGGGGTAGCGAAGGCAAGGGAGGCAGCTCCACTTGGGGGACCTGGATCCCCACGGCTGCAGGCTCCACGGCAGGTACAGGTGGGGCTCCCAGCCCAAGGGTCGGCAGGTGGAGGGCAAAGCCGCTGACTGCCTCCGCTGTGGGGGCCGCGACCTGGGGGACACCCACTTCGGCGCCTGGCAGCCGGGGCCCAACCAGCTCCACCTGGGGGGCTGTGAAACGGGCTCCTGCTGCCACCTCAGCCTCCGCTTTGGCCTTCCTAGGGGGAGGAGCGGCGGCCGCCAGCCGGGCTGCCTGGGCCTCTTCAGCCACTTCTCGGACGCGGAGCCGAGGCAGCTGAAGGCGCCGGCGGGTGGGGGCGGCTGGGACAGGGCCCTTGACAGCCTCGGCTTTGAGGCCCCGACGCAGACGGGAGAACTTGGGAAAGGAGAATTCGACATCAATGGGGGCCAGGTCTGCAGGGACCCCCAGGGCCCCAGGCACCAACATCTTCTTCTTCTTCACAGGGGACAGACTCTGGATGTTCTGGGGAGAGAGGAGAGAGACTGGAGGCGGTGGGACAGTGGGAGGCTTGGGGTGGACAGGGGGAGCCCCACCTGGTTTTGTACCAGGCTGGGGATGTGCTGGATGGAGAATTTGTCCCCAAAACACCATCCCCACTTCCTGCCTGTGATGTCACCATTACCGCCCCAAAAGGCAAAGATGTTCATTTAGGATCTTACAGTGAGTCAACAGGAGCGTAGAAACTGGGACCCAAGACTTCTGGGTCCTCATCCAGGATTTTCTCCGATACCCTCAATTCTAGAGGTGGGGAAACTGAGGCCCAAGGAGGGAAAGAAACTGGTCCAGGGTCACTCAGCAGTAAGTGAGCAGCCTTCAGACTTGAACTTGGCCTCCCTGGTTGGGAGTCCCCTGCTCAGGACCCCTCGTGAGCCTGGAGCTGAAGGTGGGGATGCCTCTCCGAGGTGGGTGAGGGCTCTGGTCTGGGAGGGGTGGGTCCCCCTCCCCAGGGAGGAGTTTGGGGGCAGATAACAGGAGGCAGAGGGTGGGATTAGCGTTGGGTTAGTGAAGAGACACAGGGCAAGGCCGGCCCACGGTGTGGGGGAGCGGGGCTCACGGCGCCGAGACGGGATCGCTGGGGCGCTCCAGGGCTGGGACCGGGCTAAGCACGCGTACCAGCTTGGCCACCTTGGCCCGCGGGCCCTTGATCTCGTAGCCAGCCACGGTCCCCGGCCGCAGCGCCAGGTCCCCGGTGGGCACAGTGCGCTTCAGGCAGAAGGAGACCTTGTAAGGCTCGGCGCATTGCAGCAGGCGTAGCGCGTCCTCGTATTTGAAGTTCTCGAAGAACACGCGGGCGCTCAGTAGCTGGTCCCCTGCGGGCGAGGTGGAGGTGGGCAGGGCGTGGGCATCCCCAGGCTCTGCGCAGGCCTGGTTCCGCCCACTTCCCCGGGAGCCTGCGCGGCGAGGCCCCGCCCAACATTTAGGCCCCGCCTATCCCCTAGCGCGGAATTGAGACGCAAAATTCCTCCCTGTTTGAGGTCTGGACGCTTAAGAACGAAGCCCCGCCCCACTGAGCAAAACCACGCCCATTCAGGCCACGCCCATCGCCTTTCCACTCCCCTCCCCCATCCTCACATTTCAGACACTGACTTTGCTCCCTTTACTGAGAGGACAGAATCAGAAAAGAACTTCCAGAAGCTCCCACCCCATTACTCACCCCTCTGCTCCTGTGGCAATTTACTCCACTCTCTACTTGTTCCTAGGGAAGAACTGTCGCCACTCCTAGCTCCCCAGCTCAGGTCAATCCCTCCATTGTCTTCTCAGAGACATCTTCCAGCAAGTCTCCCCTCTCTCCCCATCATCACTTTGTCCCTCTCTTCTACATTATTCCCATCAGCATACAACATACCATTATTTTTCCCATAAGAAAGGTTGTCTTGACCTCACTCCTCCTGGAGCTCCTGCTCCATTTATCTGTTCACCTTCATGGCAAAATGCATTGAGTTATCTAGCTGCATTGTTTCCATTTCTCCAATCACACTTCTGACACCCCTTCCCAGAACCTTCAAGTGCTCCCCTCAAGGTCCCACGCAGTGACCTCTGTGCAGCTAAGGCCAACAGTCCAGTCCCAGACTTCATCTGCTTGGACCCCTCAGCCTTTGACCCAACTTCACTCTCTCCTTCATCCACTTGCTTGGCTTGGCTTCCAGGGTGCAACATCCTCTGGAACCTCCCTGGAGGTTCCTTCTCAGCCTCCTGGGATGGTTCCTCCCCATCTCCCTGAGCTCTTAAAGACACTCTGTCTCAGATCTCAGGCCTTGGACCTCTTCTCTTCTCCATCTCCGTGCTACACTCACCCCTTGGTGAAGCTCATCCAGATTCAAGAGTCTAAAGATCATAAATATGCTGACAACTCCCAAGTGTATCTCTCCAGGCCAGCACCTTCCCCTCCATCCTAGACTCATATATCCGACTACCCCTCCACATCTCCACCTTGGTGTCCAACAGACACCTCTCGTTTACAGATGCAAACTGTACTCCTGGTCTTCCTCCAAACGAGCTCCAGCCCTGGGGTTCCCCATTTGTGGGACTACCAACTGCATCCTCAGGTCAAGAATCCCTAGATACATCCTTGACCCCTCTTTTTGCATCCAGTCTTGAAGGCTCCTTCTCCAAAATATATCCAGAATCCAAACCCTTCTCTTCACCTCCAATAACACCATTTTGGCCCCAAGCATCACCATCTCTTACCTGGATAATCACAGTAGCCTCTTCATTGGTCTACCTGCTCCCCACCCTGCCCCGCTACGGTATACTGCTAATACAGAAGTTCAACACGGTCAATTCATGTTCCTCAACTCACAACTCTCCCAGACTAAAAGCCAAAGTCTTCACCACAGCCTATAAAGTCCTCTAAAAACTTCCCTTTCTCTTACCTCTCTGGCCTCATCTCTTACTTTCCTCTTCACTAACTCTATACCATCCACACGGGCTTCTTTGCTGCTCCTCCAACAAGCCAGGCACAATCCCACCTTGAGGGGTCTGCACTGGCTGTTCCCTGCCTGGAATGCTCCTCCAGATGGCCACAGAGCTCATTTCCTCGTAGGCCTTTCCTCCCTTCCTGGCTCACCCTATTCAAAAATGCAGCTTCCCTCCTGGCATCCTGAGCACATATTGCCCTCTAATTTACTATATATTTTACATATTTTGCTTAAATATGTCTCTCCCCACTAGAATGTAAGCTCCATAACTACAGAGAGTGTTGTCTGTTTTGTTCACTGCAGGAACCCAAGCACCTAGAACAATATCTGGAAATAGAAGGCACTTAGCAAATAGTTGTCGCATGAATAAATCACATCAGCCTCATCCACGTTACCTAAAACATCCCTTACTTGCTAAGCTCCCCTCCCTACACAAGCTGCTTGCTCCACCTCTTTTCTCTAGCCCCAACAACAAAAACAGTAAGTAGCACTTACATAGTGCTTACTACGTGCCACTTAGCTGTTTTCAAATACTGACTCATTCAGCCCACATAATAACCCTATGAGGTAAGTACTAGAATTATTCCCTTTTTAGAGATGAGAAAACTGAGGAACAGAAAGATCCCAAGCTAGTAAACTGCAGTTCTGGGAGTCGAACGGAGACCATGTACCTCCAGAGCCCCCTTTGAGCAACCGCAATGCCGACACACAGCCCCGCCTCAAGCCCTTAACCCTGCCTCCTGGTCCGGGGTCACGCTCGGGACCCAGAGCAGAGTCCAAGCCCCGCCCCCGCGGGAAGACCCCGCCCATGCCCTGCTCACGCCCCGCCCACCTTCCTGCAGGCTGAAGCTCCTGGCGGCGGGCGAATCCTCACGCAGGTCGCGGACGAAGATTCCCTCCTTGCCGCCGCCCGCCACGTTGATGCCGCTGACCCCCGTCTGCGCCTCCGTCTCCACGATGATCTCCACCAACTCCGCCCGCCTCAGCTCCTGCGGAGGGCGGCGAGGGGTCGCCATGGGGCGCTGGGGCCGGACCTCGCCCCAAGCCCGCCATAGCACTTAAGAGCGGCTCTTGGGTCGGCCCCGTGGCTTAGCGGTTAAGTGTGTGTGCTCTGCTGCTGGCGGCCCGGGTTCGGATCCGGGCGCCCACCGACGCACCGCTTCTCCGGCCATGCTGAGGCCGCATCCCACATACAGCAACTAGAAGGATGTGCAGCTATGACATACAACTATCTACTGGGGCTTTGGGGGAAAAAAAATAAATAAAAAAAAATTATAAAAAAAAAAAGAGCGGCTCTTAAACGGGTCCTCGGGGCACGCGCCCCTCGGCGCGGCTCAGGCCGGTGGGGCGGGCCCACCCACTCCGGCATCTCCCCTTTAAGCAGGCACGAGGGTCGCTGGCTCTCGGGACCCGCGGAAAGGTCCAACGGTTCAGCCGGCTCGCTGGCCTCGTGGAGCCCTAGGGCTGCTGTCGGGAGGGGCTAGAAGGAACCCGAGTTGGGACTGAGATGCGGGCCTGATAGTAAGGGCGGGGCTGTGCTCTCAAGGGGGTGTGGCCAGTTCGGGAGGGCGGGGCTAGGGCTTGGAGCACGCGCGGATGGAGAGCTCAGGCCAGAGAGGAGGGGCCGAAGATACGAGAGGGGTGTGGCTAGAGGTCCAGGTGGAGATGCGGCGGGAACCCATAGTCTTAAGGATTGAGCTATGGGCAGGAGCTTTAATAACAGGAGAACAAGACTTGAGTTGAGGATGGGGTTCCGAGGAAAGGGCTGGACCCTTAAGTGGGGCGGGATGGAGGGTGGGGCTGGGACTGCCCTCCTTGGAGGCTTGAGTGTGTGTGAGACTGTGCCCTATTGTGGGCTCTGTGACCCCAAGACCTGCGTAACGCCCATGGGAGAGGGAATCCAGTGAAGGGGGGTGCGTGGGTAATGTGTGCTGGGCCGGCAGACGTGGTATTCCTGGTATTTACTGTAAATGGTGCTGCCCTGGCCCTAGCCCAGCAGCGCACTGTGGGATTCACCTCCCAGCTTCCCAGAAGAGGCAGTGAGAGACCTCAGTTCCACAGCTGTCCTGGAACCCAATCTGCTGTGTGTCTCTGGCTGAGGAATGTGCCCTCTCTGGGCCCATTTCCCTACTGTAAAGTTGGATGACATGGGTGTACTGGGAGGAGTCGGTGAGCTGAGACCTGAGGCAAGAGCAATCCGAGGGAATGCTGTAATGGGCGGGGCATCGAGGCTGGCACAGACTGGAGTTGAGCCCAGGGCTTGGAGAGGGGAAAGCAGGTCTGGGCCGGATGCCCCAGTGGGAGGGCTGGGCAGAGCATGGTGAGAAGGGGTAAGAGGAGTCGTGGGGGCAGCAGGGAGCAGCATGACCATCACCACCACCCTCAGGCCCTGGGCTGGGCATTTTATGTGCAGCATCTCATTGCATCCTCCCCACAGCTTGGGCAGTCACCGAGGAGGACACAGAGGTCCAGAGAAGTAAAGTCACTTGCCTAAGGCCACACAGCAAGTTAAGTGGCTGGGCCTCAACCCCAGGTCTGTGACCTCAGAGCCTACAGGGTGTCCTGTGGGCAGTGACCTGCTTGCACTGTACCCCCTGCCTGCCACCCCTCAGCCTCAGCTTGGCTCCTATAAAACTAGACCCACTCTGCGCCTGGCATCGGTAGGATGCAGTCAATCCCAGTGTTCTACAACATTCAAGGAGGCTTCCTAGGCACCAGGCCTGTGCAAATGGCTCCAGTGTGAGTCCTCAACACACTCAGAGGTGGGGACTATTGCCCCATTTCACTGATGGGGAAACTGAGGGATAGAGAAGTCAGGTCACCTGTTCAGGGCTGCGCAGCTGAGGTGGTAGGGTTGGGATTTAAGCCCTAGGTCCAAATCCCATGTCGTTAACCCCTATACCATCCTGCCTCTTCTGATGAAGAGTGTCTGCTCGATTTTCTTTAGCTCATTATCCATAAAACTCCATTATGCTCCAATGAATTAGCAGTCTGTGCCAGGCTCTGTGCTAAGCACTACATATGTTCAATTTTTTTTCCTCACAGGGACCCATAACATAGGCCCTGTTGCTATTTCTATTTCACGGAGGGGGAGACTGAGGCACAGAGAAGCCAGGAAGTGTCTCCTTGCTGGCCTAGTCTGTGTCCCCCACGCAGGCCCCTTGCAGGACGAGGGGCGCTCACCTCGGCACTCCGGCTTCGGGCCTCCATTGCGCTCCTGGGAGTCCCCTGGGCCCCAGGCTGATGCTTCCTCTCTCCCTTCTGCTGCAGGACCAGCTTCAGCTCTGCATGGAGCTGCTGCCTCTGAGCCTGCAGGGCACAGGGATGGAGGCTTGAGGCCAGGAGAGGATGAGGGGAGGAGGCCGGGCTTAGAGGAGAGGTCGAGGGGAGCAGGGCCTCCCACCCAGCTGTCCTCTCACCGCTGCCTGGGCACAGGCACCCCCTCCTAACAGGAGCCCAGCCTGGGGTGCCACACAGTCGTCTGGGAGGCGTGCGCCCTTCCTCTGGGGTCTTGCTGCCTGCTGGGGAGAAACCAGGGCGTGAGGCTCCAGGCAGGCCAGGGAGGGGCAGGGAGGGGCATGTGGCCCCGGCCAGTGCTCACCTCAGGGTCACCTCCAGCTCCTTGGGCCTCCTGGGTCCGGGGCTCTAAGAAGAATAACGTGAGCATTACTCTCAGCTACCCCCACTGATGGCTTCCTGAGTGCCTGACCCTTCCGGCGCTCTGTCAATACTCCATCCCCCTAGAGAAGGTGGAGAAACTGAGGCACAGGAGACCTTTACACAAGGGGACATAGCTGGAAAACACACAGTAAGGCCAGAACGACTCCTAGGCCTGTCTGACAGCAGAGCCCCTGCGCCAATCACCTTGGCCGACCGAGGGGGCCAAATTCACTATAAAGTAATGATAACCACTCCCATGTACTCCCCATGGGCAAGTCACCTCATCTCTCTGGGCCTCAGTTTCCTCATCTATAAAATGGGGAGAATGAGAGCTCCTGCCTCGCAGGGCTGTTGGGAGGGTCAAATATTTATATTAATAAATATCAAGTGCCAGGCACATGGTGGGCGCTTGATAAGCACTTGCTGTTATTATTATTAACAACTTCCTGTGGTCCTGTCTCATGTCCAATGTCCCATAGGCGTCATCGCACATGGACCTCAGAATACCCTTGTGAGGTCAATACAATTTTTGAGCCCGTTACAAAGAAGACACCTGAGAGAAGGGAAGTCACTTGTCCAGGTCACAAATGGCTAAGCCGGGACTTCAACTGGGCTGAAGGCTCCAGCCCCTTATACAGGTAATAATAACTAATGGGTTATCGAGTGGTTACTCTTTGACAGTCCTGTGCTGAGACCTTCACTTTCCACCTCACGGTGGAAACTCTAGCCCCTCAGAGATGCCAAGACCCTTGCTCAAGGTCACACAGCACAGTGAGAAGGAAGCAGAGCTGGGATTAGCATGCACCCACCCCGACAGGCCCTTCTGGGGAAAAGAGGATGGACACTGTCTCCCCACCCCTCCCCCCAACTCTGGCCTTGTCCTCCCGGCCCCCACCTGGCATGCCAACCCGCCAACCCCCACTCCCCAGGGAAAGGTCAGGCCTCACGCGGCACATTCCCTCAAACAATGGCCCGTCTGCTGTGCGCAGTCACATTCCGCCCCTGCCCACCCACCCCCAGCCACACAATGGCCCTTCATAGCCCACCACTGGCCAGGATAGAGGACACAGAGACCCCCTCAATGCTTCAGCTGTATCCATTCCACTGGCTGGCCCCCCACAGCGTCAGAGGGCTCCTCTCTGTCTCTCCTAGGGGTCCTGGTCTTCACGTCCTTTCCCGGCCTCCCCTCTGAGCCCCCAGCCCCTCCAAGTAGGGTTGGCCCCCACATCTGGGACATTCCTCTGAATGGGGCCCTGTGCTGGCAACCATAGGCCTTGAATTCCCCTAGATATGGCTGTTTTATGCTTGGAAACTGAGGCTCAGAGAGGGGAAGTGACCTGTCTGGGATCACACAGCCAGGACCCAAGCCCTTGACCCCAACTCCGCACCTTCACTTGCACTGGTGGCTCGGAGCACTGGAGGGGGCCCGAGCAGCAGAACAGATGGGGCAGGAGCAGGGCTGGGCGGGAGCAGGGGGTGGAGGGTGCCGGAAACAGATGTTTCTGGAGAGACCTTGTTGGTGTCAACTCTGCACCGGGCATGCACTTTGTGGATATGGCCTCATGGTAGCCCATTTTACTGGTGAATAAATGAGGGTTTAGAGACCAGATATCACAACGACAGAGTCAGGAATTGAACCCAGGTCTGAAAAGCTAATGCTGAGTCCCAGACACAACATAGCATCCTGAACTAGGAGGGAGCAGCCTGGTACTTGTAGGAGGCAGTGGAGATGGAAGGATCTCCGCGGCCACAAGCGCCCTGCTCCAGGCCGGGGCAGCGAGGGTCACACCCAGAGGCTGGCACAGGAAGCTCATCCCGGGCGGAGGCCAGAGAGTGTGCCCTCCTTCCTCATCCCTGCCCGGGACAGCCGCCCAGCCCAGGTTATATTTAGCCCAACTGTGCCCTTCCTGAGCCACGTACCCAGCTCTTGGGGGGTGGTGAGGTGGGGGCAGCCTCGCAAGGAAGCCCACCCCACCCTGGGCACTCTCTGTTCCCAGCTCTGCCCCTCCCCCTAGGCCTGGGAAGGAGGGGTGGGGAGGTTCCTGGGAGGTCCTTGACTTGTGTTGGGGAAAGATCTAATGGGGCTCTCCTGGTGAATCAAGGCCAGGCAGGTGGCAACAGCCCATTTCTTGAGCTGTGGCGCTTCCCTGGTACGTTCCTGAGCTTCCAGAATTCTCAGTCCCCATTTCTTGAGCACTTACTATGTACAAAATCCTTCCGTGCCTTGGCTCATTAAATCCTCTCAACACCTCCCTGGGGAAGGTCCAACTTAGATGCCCATTTAAGACGCTCTCATGCCCTTCAGAGAGACTGTGGTGAGGGGCTGTCATCTGGGCCCTGGGGCCCTTCAGCTGAACAGGGCCTGCTGAGGAATCCCCCAGCTCTGCCCTCCTGCACCCTCTTCCCCCACGGCAGGCACCAACCTCACTTAGGAAATCCCCCTTCTCAGAGCCTCACTTCCCCAACCACCAGTGATCTGGTGCCTTCTGCAATGGGAGTAGGGGGTTGACCTGACTCATCCAGGCCCCTGGACGTTATCTGAGGCCTTCTAGTGAGGCCGGGGGGGTGGTGGTGATGTGTGTGTGTTCCAGCAGAGGCCTCTGGCCCCTCGGTTAGTCCCTGCTCCCACACTTCTCAGGTTTGAACACTTGGGCAAGGCATGTCACCTCTCAGGGCCTCAGTTTCCTCATCTGTAAAATGGAGCCAGTAAGAGTGGCTTTGAGGATTTGTGAGACAACAGCAGGTGCCTAGAATATTCCTAGTGTATAGTAGGTGCTCAAGTAATGGAAGCTAGTCTCTGACGGCAAGTGGGGGGCGGGCTGTGCATCTCACAGTGTCTCATATCCAGCCTGTGCTCACCCGTGGCCCCACTTTCTCCCCTACCGAAGGGGAACCTGGGGTGAGGGACAAAATCCAGCTCCGCACTGGCCTCCCACCAACAGCACAGCTCCCCCTTCCCCAGGCATCCTCCCCGGCTCTTCATAAGCAGCAACTCATTGACTCGCACGTCAGCCCTGTGAGGTGGCCTCCATCAGCCCACTGCAGAGACGGGAAAGCAGAGGCACAAAGGGGAAAGTATCTCGCTCCAAGGATGCACAGCCAGAAAGAGGGGAACTTTGAGATTTGGACCCAGGGCCTGGCTCCAAAGTCTGTGCCTCTAACTCCTGCACCACGCTGCCTCCTGAGCCCCAGGCACCCTCCCAGCCCCTCCCAGGACCCTGGGTCTCATTCCCACGGCATCTCAGCCTGGCCAGTGAAGGAACTGGCCGGCTGATCTCTTACCACTGGGCCTCCAGACACCTCGAGAGCTCACGGTCCGTCTGCTCAGCCCCAGCCCCAGGCTGGGGGGGAAAAGGAATGGGGAGGGGGAGGAGGGGGAGACCCTAGCCATTGGCTGCCCAGACATGACATCACGAGGGGGTGGGTGGTGGGGAAACAAACATCCCCCTCCCCCAGCTACATCCACCGCCAGGGAGTGGGGAGCCCGGAGACACGCCGTTCCCGTGCCTGGGCCAAGACCTCCACCAGGAGCCCCGCTGCAGGGATTTGCACGTTGTTACCACCGCTCGGAGACTCCGCACCCCACCAGCCCTATTTCCTGGCTTCCAGACCCGGGCACGCCCCGCTGGTTCCTGGGGCTCCTTCCACTCCCTTTCCCGGTCAATTTGGGTTCAAATCCCAGCTTGGCCACTTCCTGCCTCTGTGACCCTAGGCAAGTCACAGCATCTTTCTGGGCTGCAATTTCTTCGTCTCTAAAACAGGGATCGTAAAAGTGCCCACCTCATGGGGTTGTTGTGAAGATTAAATGAGTTAAAAAGAGGCCAAAAACTTTTAAAAGTGCCTGGCACAGAGTGAGCACTACTTGTATTTTGTATTATTATTCGCACAACTTAGGGTGCTGGCTAGACTTCTCCGGGGACTTTGGGCCTGAGTGAGACCGGGCACAGGGGAGACCCACTTCTCTGTTTAATGGAGTTTCCACTTGAGGGGACAGCTGTCGTGTGGTAAATACTGTGCTGGGCACCCACAGCTCTTGGAATCAAGGGTGCAGGGAGGGCATATTATGCCCAATTTTTAGCCACACAGCCAGGAGGTGGTGAAGCTGGGGTCCAACCCCCGTTCTGCTGGGCCCCTGCAACCCTCTTCTGTCCCCTTCACATGACAGACAAGGAGGCTCCGGGAGGGTAAGTGACACCCAGGGCCACCCACGGCAGGTCATTGGTAGCGCTGGGATTTGAACCCAGACCTGCGCAGCTCCCAAACCAAGGCCATGAGGCCTCACCCTGATCCCCTGACCCCCAGCCCCCAGCCCCGAGCCTACCCTGACTCACCAGACCCCGGGGGGCGGCACAGGGAGCACAGGTACCCCCACATGCCCCTCGCACCCACCCGGCCGCTGCCTCGGCTGCTCACAGCTCTCTGAGCCCAGGCCTGGGGCCGGGGCCCGGATGAGGCCAGGATTATCCCCAAAGTGTGTGTCAGCAGCTTCTGCCCCATTGTCCAGCCAGGCGCGGCCACCGGGCCCTCACCTCGGTGGGCGCCCTTGCCCCTCGCCCCTCACACCAGCTCAGCCGGCCCCTCTGTGGACCTGACCCCCTCCACACCCTGAGCGGTTGGGGCCTACTCCCGAGGGCATAGGGGACCAGGAACAGGTTGGCAGGATCCCAGAATGCTGGGGGCCTCCTCCCTCCTCTCCGAAATGCCCCCTGCCCACTCTCAGCCGCCGGGGAAGGCAGGAATGTGCTGAGCTCTGGGGAATGCCTTCCAGGCCTGGCAGCCACCAAGGGTCGGGGTGTGGCCGGAACCCAGCCAGAACCCTCCTCCGGGAGAGGTGGAAGGGATAGTGTGGTCAGGGCTGCCCATGGGCCTGAGGAGACCCTCACCCCATCGCAGTCTCTCTGTCATTCACCGGTTCATTCAAACATTCATCTGTTCATTTATCCATTCCACAAACATTCACAAGCCCTCGCTTGGTGGCAGGCCCTTTGCTGGGCACTGGGGACGCCAACAGGTGGGGCAGGCTCAGGAAAGGATTCCTGGAGGAGGTGACATCTAAAGTCAAACTGGAGGGTTGAGGAGGAGAGAGCCAGGTAAAAGGGTACAAAGGAGGGACGAACGCGGGCAAAGAACCAGAGGGGAGAAGGGAGCAGTCCTTCATCCAGTGTCAGCAGTCAATGAGCACCTGGTCCTGTGCCCAGCCCCATGCTGGATGGTGCTGGGGACACAGTGTGACCAAGACAGCCCAGGCCTGCTTTCACAGAGGTCACAGTCCAACAGGGAGACAGACCCAGAATGGCCAGGGTCGTGAGGGGGGAATCACAGGTAGAAGGTGTCTGCTCCACCCCAGGAAGGGAGGTCAGGGAAGGCTTCCTGGAGGAGGGGACATGTGAGCTGAGAATTGAATGACCCATAGGAGCTAGGCAAGAGAAGAGGGAACAGTGTTATGGGCAGAGGGAACAGCCTGTGCAAGGGACCTGAATCCAGAGAGAGCTCAGCACATAGGAAATTTCCAGGAGCTGAAAACTGTGTCCTTATTCGTGCCTGTGTCCCCAGGCCAAACATGCCCCTTCCTTAGCATCTCCTTCTCATTTATACATTTATTCACCAGCTATTCACAGACACCTTCTCTGTATCCAACACTGGGCTGGGTGGTACTGGGGACATAGCAGTGACTGTGACTGTGACTGTGACTGTGCCCTCACAGGACTCACAGTCAAAGGGGGGCAGACATTAAAGAAGTGATCAGGGACCGGCCCCATGGTGTAGTGGTTAAGTTCGGCACATTCCGCTTCAGCAGCCTGGTTCATGGGTTCGGATCCTGGGTGTGGACCTACACCACTCGTCAGCCATGCTGTGGTGGCAACCCACATACAAAATAGAGGAAGATTGGCACCGCAGATGTTAGCTCAGGGCTAATCTTCCTCAGCAAAAAAAAAAAAAAAGAAAAGAAAAAGAAGAAGTGATCAACAGAACTAGTGTGTAATTACACACCATGCTAAGTGCTATGAGGGACAGTTGCAGGTCTATAAGAGGAGCCTGGCACTCTGGTACTATCAGAAAGGGCCAAGAGGGCCTCCCAGAGGAGGTGACATTTGAGCTGGCACCTGAAGGATATGTAGGAGTTCATGCAAAGCTGGGAGTGGTGGACAGATGAGAGTGGGTTTCAGATAGAACAGCTGTGCAAAGGGTGCCTCTGAGAAACTGGTGAATGTGAGAGTGTGGGGGGACCCTGAGGGGAGGGCCCTGGTCAGCAGGGCCGTGGGGAGGGGCTGAGACTTTGTTCTGAGGGTCCTGGGTACCTATAGGAGGGACAGAGCAGAGCTTGAGGGTGGAAAGAGCCTGACTACAGGCCCACTTAGAGTCAGGAAGAGAATCTACCCTCTCTGCTCAGGGTCAGACAGACCCTGTCCTGTCCTGTCTCTCCACGTCTCAGAGGTGTCCTTCCGTGTCCCCATCTTAGGGAACAAGCATTCAGTCTTTTGCCATAACATAAGATGCTAGCTGTGTTTCTGCAGCTGCCCTTTAGCAGGTGAAGGAAGCTTCTTTTCCTAGTTTGCTGTGAATCTTTTGTCATGAATGGTATGTCTCTCTCTTGGTGTGTCTGTCTCTCTATGTGTCCCTCTATGTCTGTACCTCCCTTTGTCTCTGTCCTCATTCCTTGTCTCTGTCTCTCTGTGTCTCTATGTATCTCTGTCTCATTCTCTCTGTGTCTCTCTTTCTCTGTCTCTCTCTCTGTGTCTCTTGCTTTTCCACACACCAGGGGGTGTGGCCGCCGGAAGCTGAGTTTAGGGGGTGGCACCACTGTCCTGGTTCCGGCCAAGGCCACCTCAGTAAACACAGGACATCCTGCAGGGCTGCGGAGGGAGGTGGAAGCCTCTGCTCTGGGACCACCCTCTCCCCAGCCAGTGTGAGCAGAGCATGAGCCGGGTCCCACCCAGCACAGCAGGGGAAACTGACATCTCCCTCACCCCATCCTTTATGCCTGCTCCCGCCCCTGTCCTCTCCACTGAGCTCCAGGCCCAGGGGCTCAGCTGCCTGGATGCCTTCACCTGGGTGTGCCTCCAGTCCCTTGCCCCCACTATGTCCCTCTCTGGCCTCAGTGCCCACCCCAGACCTGCTTCACCTCCTGGTCACCATCCCAGGGTACCCCCACCGTCCCCCCAGTCCCCTGGCTAGAGCCCTGGGTCTCATCCTAGGCCCCTCCTCCATTGCAGCTCGTCACTCCCACAGCCTGTCCTCCCTAGCGTCTCTCCCCTTCCCTTCTCTCCCCTCCCCTTCTCTCCCCTCCCCATCCCCATGGCTGCTCTGTCCCTCCCGGTATCCCCCCCGGACTTCTGGCCCCCAGTCCCACCTTCCCACCACCACATGGCAGCCAGAGATCCCTTTACTTCTAGATCCCTTTACCCTAGTGCCTTCAGAGTAAAGTCTCCCATCCAGGGCCTTGTGTGTCCTGGCCCCTGACAACCCTCAGCCCCATCACTCACTTTACTGCTTTCTCCCTCATTCTGGTCAAACCCAGCAGCTTAGCGATCCCTGAAAGGTGGTAGGGCCCCTCACCCCCTAACCCTCGCACATGCTGTTCTCTCTGCCTAGAACATTCTCCCTTCACAACGACAATCCTCTGAGGTGGGTACATTACTGTTCCAGCTTACAGATGAGGACCCTGAGGCCCAGAGAAGTTAAGTACCTTGCCTAGGGTCACACAGCCACAGAACGACAAAGTTGAGGTTCAAGCGCAGGTGGTCTGACCTTCAATGCAACCTTTGCTCATAGCTTACTGCATCCGTAATCGTTGACTAAGCATCATTAGATTTCTGCACCAGGAATGCACACCACAGGTGCTCAGTAGATCTTCACTGAATGGGTGAATGGGACAGGGGTGGAAGGTTAGCCTCGAGAGGGGCAGAGTTCAGATCCCACAGGACTGGGATAAATCCTGAGGGTCCAGGGCAGGGGAGAGATGTGGTCAGATCTGCCTTTTATATAAGGCCAGGCACAAAGTCGGTACTTATAAATTCATCTTTGCTGAATGAGGGAAGGCGAGACGGGAGGGAGGGAGGGAAGAAAATGAGACCGAGGTTAGATGGTCACAGGTCTCCCCGGTGTGGGAGGAGAAGCGTGTGTGTATGTGGCGGGGGTCCCTGTGAATGCCGTGGAGGGGTGCTGGCCGAGGGGGTGTCATGGTGGGAGCACACAGAGGCTCTGTGAAGACCACCAGCAGCGCCGGGACTGGCGGCTCAGCCAGGAATGGTGTGGGCCCTGGAATCTGCTGGCCGAGGTAATGTGGCCTCCTGGGGTTGAGCCTGAAGGCGGAGGGGCACACCAGAACCAGGGAG